ACCACATGGATGAGTTCAGCTCTAGCTTTGGAGGGTGACCAGGACCATAGTCCTGGAGGTTCCACCTGTTTCTATCCAACCAAATGGCTTGGTCCTTTCTGATTTTGAGTTTTGTTTCACATTTTTCTCCTACTTCTATCTAGGACTTTCTTGATCCTTTTCAAAGCTGTTGATTATGGTAGCTGGACACCATCTAGTTCTTCTGGTCTCAGGTTTGTGGAGGATGGAATTCAAGTTGTCCATAGACTCCTCGTGTGGAGCTGTAGGAATGGTACCGGATTGTGAACCACAAGGTTGACAGTTCAAACCTACCAGCTGCTCCTCAGAAACCCTATACAGGGTGGCTATGAGTTTGAACTCATTCGATGGCACTTAACAACAACTACAGTTAGTCCTATGGACAAATTGTTTCCATGTGTCTTTGATTTTCCTCTACACTGTATATGGCTTCTTCCAAACCTTTAAAACCCCAGTCACTAGTCATCAAAGTAGAATGTAGAACATTTTCTTTGGAGACAATGTTGTGCCAATTGACCCTGAAAAATCAGGAGATTTTGTGGTTAAAAGTTGTTTTACATTTCTTGCACATTATTTTTGTTAAGTGTCAGTGAGTTGGTTCCAAATCACAGTGGCTAGTGGGTTTGAACTCCTGGCCTTGTGATTAGCAGTACAGTGCTTATGCTACTGCTGCACACCAGGATCCCTGTACACTATGTTGTTGTTATTGTTGTTGTTAAGTGCTGTCAAGTTGACTCTGACCCATAGCGACCCCATAGAGGGTTTCCAAAGAGCAGCTGGTGAGTTTGAACCACTGACCTTGCAGTTCAAATGGCTTTGCAGTCTGCAGCATTAACCCACATGATGTCAATTGTTATGTAAATAAATGAAGTGCCATAACTTTTATCCTGGTGTGGTGCTAGGATAAGCACTGGACTGCTAACTGCAAGGTTGGTGGTTCAAAAACACCAGCTGCTCCTTGAAACTACACAGGGTTACTATTAGTTGGAATTGACTCGAATGTACTTACCAACAACAACATACATTTTATCTCTTTCTTTTAATCTATTTTAGAAGTTATAATTTAACTAAGAAAGACTTATTTTTAAGTATTATGAAAAAAGTTACACATATGTGTTGTATAAATAGGTATATGAAAACTTTCTGAAGAAGCCAGTTGTAAAACATTCTTTAGAATATGGCATTCAGTGAAATCTTTTAAAATAGAAATATTAATAAAATACTTGCATTTTGACCAGATAAAGGCTTTTTATAGTCAACTATTTCAAGAAAAAACTATGCAGATTGCCACAAGGTGGCACTAAAATCTAGTGAAAATTCCAATCTTTTGGTCTGGCCTTTGAAAAGTGAGAACAGGAGATACAGAGGAGACACTAGTGTTGTTAAGCGCCTTTGAGTCAGTTCCGACCCATAGCGATCCTGTATAGGGTTTCTGAAGAGCGGTTGGTAAGCTTGAACTGCCGACATCGAGTTTCAAATCGACTTTGCAGTCCAACGCATTAACCCAAAGTACAGCTAGGCAAAAAAAAAAAAAAAAAAGAATCAAGTAAATTGAGTGGAAGGCTGGAGACAAATTAATATCCTCTTTTTATATAAAGGATAACTTCCCTCTTTTACAGCTGTTGGCATGTTTTCCCATACAATGAATCTATATGTCAATAAAATCATTATTACAATTATTTGCTGTCATACAAGAATCAGATTTTATCCTTGCCTTTCAGGGAGGTGAGGAGGAGATTGTTCTGCACATCATCTAGTTTGGGAAAGTTTTTGAAGTAGTCAATCTCCATAGAGGTTGTCAAAGTATCCCTGAACAAAAAATGACTAACATGAAAATAAATTGCTGCAGAACATGGGTGCTTGTGTTTGTTTACATTGGTATTTTTACCAAGCAAATATTTTTAGAAGTTATTACAATATTGAGACTCAAACTTGAAACATCTCATATCATTAGCAAATAAGTATACTTAATCTCCCTATCTGATTTTTAATACTTAACGTTTTAAATGGAGTCCTGGTGTGGGTTAATGCGCAGACCACAGAGTTAGTTTGAACCACAAGGTTGGTGGTTCAAATTCACCAGCTGCTCCTCAGAAACCCTATGCAGGTCGTGTGGGTCTGAACAGACTCAATGGCACTTGTTAACAACAACAACATTTTAAATAGATGCTATTAAGCTTTGTTTCATATTCTCTTGTTATTTAAAGCTTAAGAACATAGCCAAGATTCTCAAGCTATAGTAAAACTAAAAAAAGTAGTGTAAACAATACACTGTTAAAAAGGTTATAAAGAAGAAAAACTTGTGTAGATAACATTTTTTCTAATAGGCTAAGTTAAAAAGAAAAAAAAGACTGGAGTTCTAAATCAATAATCAAAAACTCGCTTTCTGGTGTGGGATCCCACTGTGGAAAAATTATTCACTGGCAGACCAGTTAGATCAGTTTTGTAGAACTTGTGGGAAAGGAGAAAAGGCTGGGCATCATAGTGGAACTAATCCAGCATGCGGGAAGAATTTCAATTCATTAGAATGAGATGTTCCTGATAGGGTGGGCTATAGAAGGTGGAGGTACTGAAGTCTCATATGATTGATCACAAGGTTCTCCACATCTGTGGAGTCTATAGTAAGACCTTGTTTTCAGCATATAAATTATATGTATCAAGTCTCAGTCATAGGTGGCTGTATGGGTTTGGATGGGTGAGAGCTTGTTATCCAAACTAGAGCTGGATCATAGAAGTTAACCTGAAGTAGACATATGAGAGTCAGTTGTTTGTTGCTGCTAAGTATCCTCGAGTCAGTTCGACTCATAACTACTCTATATAGGTTTTCCCTGGAGGAGCTAATGAGTTTGAACTGCTAACTTGAGCATTTTGGTTTCTTGACTGATTTCTTGCAAAGTGGCAGTCATTATTCTAGGTTTTCAAGATGCTAAGAAGAATTTTATCAACTCTTGCCCTTCCAACAGCTTGACACCCTAGGAGGAGACAGAAATAGGAGGATGTGATAACCTCATTAGGAAGGGTGTCTTTCCTGTGCTGAAAAACCAAAGCATCCCATTGCCTGCCACAATGATATAGCTCAACCCATTTAGTTGATGTTTTAGTCTCCCATGATACTCTGGACTCCTGGTGTGGCTCTGTAGGATTAGCTGGACTGGGAATCACAAGTCAGCAGTTCAAACCCACCAGCTGCTCCTAGGGGGTCACGATGAGTTGGAACAGACTCAACAGCACTTAGCAACAACAATGACACTCTAGTCCTCCAACCTGAGTTTTAAGCTTTGCTCTCCATCAAGTTCAGTCAGCCGCACTAAGCTATTCACTGTTTTCAGAATTTGTCTTCTTCTTTCCCACCAGATTGTTTTTGCTCAAGCGGCTGCTCCTCTTACCCAATTTCCACTTCTTCTGTTGAAATCAGATGACTTACATCATCATTCTAGATAGGACATGGGTGCCATCTCCTACAAGGAATAGACAAATTAAATCCTATTGTGTACCAGGAAATGAGCCCTGGTACAGTGGTTAAGAGCTAGGCTCTCAACAGGTTGGGGAGTCCAATCCACTAGCCACTTAGCAGGAGAAAGTCCGTAAAGATTTACTTGTTGTTGTTAAGTGTAGTCAAGTTGTTCCTATACAGTAACTCTGTATAGGGTTGCCAAGGAACCACTGGCGGGTTTGAACTGCCAACTTTGTGGTTAGCAGTCCAGGGTTTATCTTATAGCGCTACAACAGGGCTTGGAAACCTTATGGGACAGTTCTACTCTGTCCTACAGGGTCGCAGATACACAGCTGTGGGTGACTAGGAATCTAGAGCCTTACCAGACACTCACTATTTGCCTTGTGTCTGCAAGTCTCTCTTCCCTGCCAGGGCCTTAGCCTCTCCATCTTTTCAATGGGAGGTGGGGCAGCTGGATTCTATTATCCTATTTCAGCCATTCCTCTAGTTTAACAATCAGTATCAGCATTAATCATGCAAAACAGGGCTGAAGCTGCTTTTTTGGGCCTGATGCGGCGCTGTGGGTTAATACGCTGGACTGCAAGATGGGTTTGAATCGCAAGGTCCGCGGTTCAAGTTCACTTGCCGTTCCTTGAAACCGCTATACAGGATCGCTGTGGGTCGAAACCGACTCGACGGCACTTAACAACAACACAACAACAATGTTCTCAAAGTGAACGTTAAGCCTTCCTTCCTCCAATCTCCACCTAAGACCGAGGCTGGGGGCCAGAAAGGGGACAAGCGGTAGGACTTGTAAAAGCTGGGAGATTCGGCCTAGATCCGCACAACTCACAGTCGGCCCATCATCTCACGGGTCCAAAGCTAGGGCTTCCATTAGGGCCATTCTAGTTGTTGTTGTTAGGTGCCATCCAGTCAGTACCGACCCATAGCGGCGAGTACAGGGGGTATATTGTGTAAGGGGGAGGAGTAAAGAGACCAGTTTAGAGCCGTTTCTAAAAGAAAGGAAAATACCTTCTTACTTGGAAATAAAAGTGTGTATTTAAAAACAAAACTACATTAAAGAAGTTATTTTCCCCCAAAGGTCCGGTAACTCGCAGAGGATCTTGCCGGGAAGCCAAGTAATTTTTAATGGGAACGAGCCACCAACGCCCCAGTAAGTACTGTCTCTCTCGAAGCCCCTTGCCCATGCCCCGCCGGCTCTAAGAATTCAGCTTTCGGCACCCGGTTACGTATGCATAATCCGGGGCGAGGAAAGGAACCCTGGGCCCACTAGGGGTTCGTTAGGGGTCCGCCAGAGCCCTGCGGCGCTAGCCGCTGCGCAGACTCCCCAGTCACCACCTCTCCCAGCCCCGCGGCCTAGGCCGTCAATCAAGACTGCCCGGCCCCGCCTTTGGGCTGCACATAACAACCAATCAGAACCAAGATCCGCAGCGATGAGCTCAGTCGGCTCGCTTCCCATTGGGCGGCTATATTAAGAAAGTGGCCAAACTCCTTAAATAGCAGGCGCTAGGGCCGCAGCCAGCATCTGCTACTGCAGTCTGGTTAAACGGGTTCTTAATCTCTTGTATGTTTTGTAAGGCCTAGAGACTGAGAAGGAAGCGAGGTCTAGTCCGCAGCTCAATCAACCGTTTCAGCACAAAGGCACTCAACGCCAGCAGCGAGAAGAGCGGTCATCGTCCCGGAGCAGCGCGTGAGACGCACGGTGCGCCCTATGCCCCCGCGCCCCCACCGCCCCCGCAGCCGGAGCGTACCGAGAGAAAGCGCCACCGCAGGACTTGGGTGCAGCTAGCGATCCTTGGCCCAGCGCTCAGCCCGAAGTGAGCGGCGAGCGGGACGGCAGCGAGGCGTTCGCGGGCCCCCTCCTGCTTCCCGGGCCCGGCCCGCTCATGGCGGCTATCCGCAAGAAGCTGGTAGTGGTGGGCGACGGCGCGTGCGGCAAGACGTGCCTGCTGATCGTTTTCAGTAAGGACGAGTTCCCGGAGGTGTACGTGCCCACTGTCTTCGAGAACTATGTGGCCGACATCGAAGTGGACGGCAAGCAGGTGGAGCTGGCGCTGTGGGATACAGCGGGCCAGGAGGACTACGACCGCCTGCGGCCACTCTCCTACCCGGACACCGACGTGATCCTCATGTGCTTCTCGGTGGACAGCCCGGACTCGCTGGAGAATATCCCTGAGAAGTGGGTGCCTGAGGTGAAGCACTTCTGCCCCAACGTGCCCATCATCCTGGTGGCCAACAAGAAAGACCTACGCTGCGACGAACACGTCCGCACCGAGCTGGCCCGCATGAAGCAGGAACCCGTGCGCACGGATGACGGGCGCGCCATGGCCGTGCGCATCCAAGCCTACGACTACCTCGAGTGTTCGGCCAAGACCAAGGAGGGGGTGCGCGAGGTCTTCGAGACAGCCACGCGCGCCGCGCTGCAGAAGCGCTATGGCTCCCAGAACGGCTGCATCAACTGCTGCAAGGTGCTATGAGACCGCGCCCAGCCCCCGCCTGTTTTTACCGGCGCGGCCCCCCTCCTGGCCCCGTCCCCCACGAGTCCGGAGAAGGGAAGACCCGTGTCCCCGAACGACCCCACCGGGCTGCCTGGCGTTTGCCGTCGGGACCGGCAGCCGTCCCCTGGAGGCTGTGGCTCTGGCGCCGGCCATCGGCTTAAGAGGGACCGGGTGCCCCCTTCCCAGTGTCTGTGTGCGTCCGGCCGCGTTGTACAGGCCCGGGCGCCCCGCTGAGTGCCAAGGGCCCCTGAGCATCCTTTTCTGAAGAGTTAGGCGTCAGAGTGTGTGGCTGTGTGTGTGTGTGTTCGACTCCCCTCGCCTGTGTTTTCCCCCCACCCCTGCGGCTGGTCCCCGGAGCCGAGCTCGGCACCCTGGTCGGCCGCGCCCCATCAGATGTTCACCCAGAGCCAGCGAGCGCCTGCCATCCCTTGTCTGTAACATAGATCCGGGGGACTGCGGGAGGGGAGGGCTGGGGAGGACGGGGGCGGGAGGGTGTGGTTATATAAATATAGATATAATTTTATTTTCGGAGGTAGGATGGTGTTATTTAATGGTGGTGGTGGGTGGAGTGACGGCGCTAGAACAGCTCCGGCCCAGCCTGGGTAAGGCGCCCATCCAAGCATGAATTGGACTTGACCATCTTACTGAATTATGGGGAAGACTTTTGGAACTGACATGGGACTGAGAGGACACAGCTTCCAGACACAGCGTCTCCTGCAAACCCCTCACCAGCCACTGGGGCAGGAGGAGGGGGAGGGTGTGTTGCGGGGTGTTTTGTTTTGTTTTTTTGCCATAAGCGAACTTTGTGCCTGTTCGACAAGTGAAAATTGTTCAGTCCAAGAAACTGATTTTTGATTTATTTAAAGGCTAAAATATGTTTTTCCAAAAGTATTTGCACAATTGTTTCATTGTTTGACATTAATGCACTTGTCATTTGCATAAGACAGTAGTAGCATTCTAACCACACTTGTATACTGTAATCTCATCTACTTCTAATTTGTTTTTCATGATGACTTTTAAACACGATAAAAACTCCCCCACTAATTTTTGTTTCGTTTTGTTGAAAAAAGTGACAATACACTATTTTACAATTTTACTTGTGTGGATTAAATGCACTATTTTGATAAAGGCAGTAATAAGTATTGGGACCTATTCAAAACATTTCCCCCCCCCACAAGCAGTCTCTAAACTATGTGAAAAAAATCTCTGCATCTCTGTACAGAGAATAAACCTCCCCCTATTTTCTTCTTTCTCCTCTCCTCCCCAGTGGTACTTATACTAAATTGTTGTCTTGTTTTTTATTTTTTAAATAAACTGACAAATGACAAAGTGGTGAGCTTATGATGTTTACATAAAAGTTCTATAAGCTGTGTATACAGTTTTTTATGTAAAATATTAAAAGACTATGATGACATTTATAAAATGGTTCCTGTGATTTGTGTGTAAGATTATCCTTGGGAATTTTGGGGCAAGGGAAGAATTACACTAGGTGGGATCCTTTCCACCAACTCCACTCCCCTCACAGTGACAGTAGTAAATTAGGATGAATTCTCTTTGGGGGAGGTATTGGTTGGGTAACCAGGGTTGTTCCTTTCCCAATCCCAGAAGGAAGACCAGTGAATTACTCAGACACCTGGTGTTAGAACCTTTAACCTAACATGCTCAGTTCAATTAGATGAGGTCAAAGGCCTTGATTTTCTTTTGCTCTGTATGTGTTAAACACTGTGTCCAAGTCACTTATAGGAACTTTGTATCCTATTTTTTTTTATACTTGAAAACTTGTCATTTGTGTATTTTAAATTTAGATGAGATTTTTTTGTTGTTGTTATTGCCGGTCACACTGGCGTGGAGCCAGGCATTCTTAGTTAAGAAAGTTGGTTACTGGATTTCCCTGAGATTGTAGGTTATTATCGTTGGAACTGGAGGTTTTGGGTAAAAAGGGAAGAGCCTAAATAAAGAGCCAATTCTTACAGTATCGAACATTCATCTGAATATATGCCTTCGTTGTTAAGTGCTGTTGAGATGATTTCGACCCATAGAAACCCTGTGTAGGGTTTCCAAGGAGCAGCTGGTGAGCTTGAACTGCCGACTTGCAGTTCAAACGCTTTGCAGTCTGGCGGGTTAACCCACAGCACCACACCAGGACTCCATATATGCCTATGTTGTTGTTGTGTTATGTGCCATGGAGTTGGTCATGCAGTCGGTTCTGACTCATAGTGACACTGTACAGGGTTTCTGAGGCTATAAATCTTTACGGGAGCAGAAAGCCTCATCTTTCTCCCGTGGAACAGCTGGTAGTTTCAAACTGCTTACTGTGAGGTTAGCAACCGGATTTGTAACCACTACGCTACCAGAGCTCTGTATATATGCCTATAAGCTACCTAAAATGCTTTTATTGTGGCCATATCATGGACATTATACTAGGATTTGGGGGTGGTGGTTATTCAAAGTTAGAGCAGCTGAAATGGAGATTGAATCATGCCGTGCTGTGGTTTCAGACATTGTTAACAGGCTGTTGCAGTGCTGCTCAGAACTAGACAGGCAGATTTCTACACAGCAGACATTACAATCCTGTGCCAGGCATGATGGCTCAAACCTGCCAGCTCCTAGCAGCTTCTAGGGAAGAGATCCCATAATGCCAAGCACCCAACTCCCTAAGAAGTGTGCGTTATGTTTTTTGAATTAGCACTTTCATGGTTTCCAGCACTTAGTTGCCATTCTCACTTTCTGCCCCTCCTCCCTACACACCTCCAGGACAAAGGTAAGAAGGTCCTTTTGCTTAAAAGCTTGAGACTTGCTTCCAGTTTTTTGCCCCAGCTTCTGAAGAGCTGTCCTGGAGTGAAACAACCCTGGTTAGTGGTGACCTTTCACCCACTTACACTGTGGTAGCAGGGCCTTCTGCTCAGCCAGGGCCACCACTGAGAGTGCTGTTGGGAGTTTCCCAGGCACAGAGCAGAGCAGTTCAATCCAGACTGATTTTCACTTTTAACAAATACCTCACTCCTTACTTGGCTCCTCAGACATACTCACCTCTATCGTCAAAGCCTAATTTTTCTTCATTTTAGAGACACAATTTCCAAATTGAAAAACAAAATGTTAATCTGCAGATTTTACAGCTAGCAAATCTTTTGGTACCAGGGAATGCAGAGCCCTGTGGGGAAGAGCTCAGTCTTGGGCTAAATGCCCAGGATTTAGCTTTGTAGCCAGTTAGCCAAGAGCCTGGAGACACAACCCTGAAAGGGCCTTTTCTGAGTTTCCTGACAGGTACCTATAGCTGTCTATTTTTTGTATTGGGGGGAAACAGCCACCCAGATGACGCATGGCAACCTGAGTTACGCTTGTTTTAAAATGCATGGCATTTAGCAATCCTGCCAGAACACACTCTTCTTGCTACATTAGGATCCAACTGGAAAGTACAAAGACGAATTGCTGTAGGCTGGAAAATCAATTAGGAAAAAGAAGTAAAACATCTGGTGCTACTCTTCGAATATGAAAATTCATTTTGCACATTTAAAATAAATGTGCTGAGTTCATTTAATTGCCTGTTGAACTGTTTCGTGGAAAATAGTGGCGTATTTCATTGATCCTGGGCATTTTTATAGCATTGGGCATTGGTTGGGTTCTCTTTTAATCTTAAATTGATCTGGGTCATATTTCTAATGTCTTTTTCACATGTTTTGGTGGGTTTCAAATAGTGGTTTTTAAACTGGAGTGTACATCAGAATCACTTGGAGAGTTGGTTAAAACACAGATTGCTGGCCCAACCCCTCAGTGTTCCGATTCAGTAAGTCTTAGGCAAGGTACCTTTCTAACAGGATCCCAAGTAATGCTGATGCTGTTGGTCCATTTTGAGAATCATTTGCTTTGGGTAAAAAAGAACTCTTGTCAATGCAGAGAGGAGGAAGTCCTTTTGATGTCAAAGTAGATCAAATTCTACAGACTTTAGGTGTTTTTCTTTGCAATCCCAACTTCCTTAACCCAAGAAGCATAGAACTTCCAGAAAGATTTCCTTATAGGATGAAGCGCACATGGCCCTTAACCTTCTCTTTCCCACATTTCCCCCCCATGTTTTATTGTGAATTATATGATATTTTACATGAGAGATCTTTAGGTTTACATTCATTCCACCGTATATCGTTTCATTGCCATGGTTCCAATCCCCTCCATGCATCATCCACCGACCAAAGGGTATACCCTATAAACCCGCCCCCTACACTCCCCCCTCACCCATTCTTCAGCACACAGTCCCTCTCCCTCTCTGGATCCAAAGTCCCCAGCCACTTCATCACTCCACTTCATCCTCTCTGCCTCTATCTTGGACCTCGCTGCTTCTCTGGGTAGGGTCCTGCTCTCGGCTCTTCTCTGTTGATGATCCTAGAGAGAACTTCACTCCTAGATTGGAGAGTTAATCACTCCCTTCCTTGCTACAAAATGCCTACCTTTACATTTCCAACCCTCACAATCAGTCCTGATAACAATCATTCACTATTGTATCACAAGTGACCCTTCTGCATTTCATTTCATCAACTCCGCCTAGACAGATTGGATAGTACTCACTGGAGA